GGGTGGTGAAAGAATAGCGGTTTAAAGCAAAAGGGCTGCTGGAAAGGTCTGGCCACAGAACAAGTGGCCGTTTACCCGGTTGCAAAGATTCAACGACCTCGCTGGGGTTTGGCTTACCTCACAGGTTCCTTTCTTGGCTCGTTGGGGTCGTGCTGGATGTACAAACAGCTTGGACGCCTTAAAGTGGGGAAGAGATTGGGACTAGGTCCCCCAGTAGTGCTCTTTTACCCTTTTTGTGGGGAGGGTTCCCCTACTAAAATAGACTACAGAAAAAAAGGTACCCATACTCTAACCTCGCTACTGGAGGACCTAGGGGAACATGTTGTAGCGTCCTTGCACATTGGAAACAAACACACAAACACACGCGGCCCAACTCCAATCTTTATGTTTCAGGCTGTTGTGCGGCATTCCCAATGCGTCCTTCCTGTTCTTGTGCTTTTTCCTTTTGGCTTCGGTCACGGAAAATGACCAGTCAGTTGGGCGCAGGGCAAACTCTGAAGTGAAAGGCAACCAATTGGAGGCATATTGATTCATATGCCAATGTGTTTGCCGAGCTGCGCATAATATGTCGTTGTTTGTTCGCGTTCAGTGAGACCATCAACCGCTGCGTTCGTTGATCTGCAACGAATGCCACGATTGTGATTGCTTGTTCATGTCCTTCGTAAGATCCTTCCACCTAAGATCTACATAGCCTCCCTGCCACTAGCAGCTAGCATGGCAGCTGACGGGGGGGTGAATTAAAGAGGAACCCAATCGTCCAGGTATACTCCCACCGGGTGTTCGCGGTAAAAACTGCATTCGTTGACCCGCCCCCCACCAAGCAACATGCAACCTCACTGCGGAGTCTCCGGTGGGCTCCATGACAACATCCCCATAGCAACCATATCATATCTGCTCGATTTTTCCAAATGAGCAAACAACATTTGCCATATTTTATCCAGACCCCGGAGCAGAAAGGGTTTCCGCGTTCTAGCCTTGTCTTGAAATAAGTAGGCGATCCTTTGGTTGACGCACAGAAGTTGTGCCCATGACATTTGGCAGGTCTAGGACATGTCCGCTTGGAGACAACTGTTTATATAATCAGTTTAGTCCAATTGACGAAGTGGCTAGGGAAATCAGATTGAGGGAGATTAGATTGATTGTGAACCAGAGTCAGACAAAAAGACATCATTTGATGTGTACTCCAGATGTGGCAGCCAGGTTTTCCGAGCGGCCAAGGATCCCCATCTTCCACGCGATGTTCTTGACCATCGCTTCCAGGATGCCGTCAGCAGATCCCGAGGAGGTGCAGGTGCCCTGGCTGTTGTTGATTGAGCCGCTGTTTTTTGGCTCAGTCTCGGTCTTGAAAGCATTGTATGGTTCTTTTGTGAGGGACCTGACTCGCAAAATGTCAACCACAAAAGACTTTTGGGACCTTCATTGAACTTCGTTCAACTTCATTGGGGCCCGAACGTTCCATCAAAATGGTTCTACCCAGCTTAATTGTGCTGTCTCACGGACGCATTCTCATCTAGGATCCCGCCCTAGTTTTGACCTCAGGGTTTGTTTAGGGCAACCGGCAAGTGCTAAACTCCTGTGAAGGTGTCCTGGGGGATGCTGTCGGGATGCTGTCGACACAAGCTTTAGCTTCTCGAATCCCTTCGAGTGGCTCAGGCGGCAACTGACGAGGGTCCAACATGGTTGCGATCCTCCCGCAGGGCGAGTGATTGAAACGAGGGTCTTTTGTCTCACCTTGCCGGGTGTGAGTCACCCAAGCAAGAATGAAAGGGAAATGGACCACCAAGAGGGTCTGGTGCGTTTTTTTTCTCCCGAAAGCAATGTTGGATGTTGGTTCTCCTGCCATTCAAAACCTGAAGTCAGGCACTTGGTCGTTTAGCCAGGGCTCGCTTTCATGGGCCTCTAAAGTGGCGCAACGCCCATGGGTCGCCTGGGTGACGTGACCTTTCGGGGGCTTGGTGGATGTTGGGCGTTGGCCGAAGCGCAAAGCCCCGCCAATCGAAGACCACTTTTATGGGAGCCGCAACGGAGCCGCAGGGAAGCATAGGCAGTATCAAAGCCAACTGTTTTTCTGGCTCCATACCGTTGGCTTCCATCCCCGAAACAGTCCATGAATTGGGCATGCCTTCCCATTGTTGAACCGCGTGCTGATTCAGAGTCGCAGCCCAGTGAGCACTGACTACAGGCCACAAGCTTCCCATGGCTTCCTTTCTGGCAAGAGGAATCAGTATACCATTGTCGTTGAACTAAGGCGTGGTTGTGGGAATCGGGTTTTAGGGCCACTTTATCTCATTCAAAGGGAATAGTCTTGAAATGACAAAGTATATTTTAGGATGGCCCATGTTGGTAACACAGATCCCACAATCACGAACCAGGATACCTGCCTGGCCAGCTGCTTCGTGCCTGCTTTGACCTCCATTTTAACCTTTTCTTTGGCTTATTGGTTTATGGGCGCAAAACAGGTTAGGGGTCGAAAAAACAATAAAGACGAGAGGCAGGTTTGCATTGAACTAAGTCCACCATTGACCATTAAGACCATGGTTCTGCCAATTTTATGGCGGGCTCACACTGAGGCTGCAACGAGCTCACCATGACAAGGGTTCTTTACTTGGGGGTCCAATGATTTCAGCTTTTGGATCATATTTATTTTTTAAAGCATGCAGTTGGTTGGACCAAAAGAAACAGGTGCCACAGAACTATGGCCATTGACCATGGAATTGAGGCGACCTGCTTGGCCAGCTGCTTTGTGTGCACCGTGACGATCGGCCTGGGCTTGTTGATCTGCACACGCCTGGGCCTGGCCAAATACCTCCGCGCGGTGCCGCTGATCGTGCTGAAGCTGAAGCTGCGCTTGGCACGGATTTTTTGTTTGGGTATTTTTGTTGGGCATGGGTCTCCTGCAAAAGCCATTATATATATATATACATATATATATATATATATATATATATATATGTGGCCGTGGGTCAAAACCAATGGGATCCCATTTTGGGGTAGGCGAATTCACCACCCAAGTTAGTCTATTTTAGTGGGGATTTTGATGTTCACTGCGGGTACGGGGTTTTGACCCATAGCCACACACATATATATATATATTTATAGATATCTGTTAAAGTTGGATTGATGGTGTAAATACCTGAAGACCTGTGTGTGACAGCGCGGCACAGTTGATTCCTGGGTGCAAGCTGTAGCTCTACTGTATGTAGGCTCAAGGCCTTGATCATACAGATGTGCAAGGGAATGTACAAGTGAGGATGTATATTACAACCTCATTTTGGATTGATGTATCTAGACATCAAGACAAACAGTTGTGCTCTAGCTTGTCGAGGTGATGTAAAGTTGTTAGCAGCTCTACTGGCTGTTTCAATTTGTACATCGATGCCTCTAATGTATCGAGCGACTGTACAGACTGCATGTGTGACCTGATGTCTGCAAGGTGTATCTGAAACACCTTGTATCCACAAAATCCGGTGTGCAATCACTGTGTAAGCAGTGTGGATCCTGCTTCACTCCTGTAAGGTACTCATTGTAGATTTGTGCCTTGGTTGCAGCATAGTTCATGTAAAACAGATGCTGCTGCTCGAGGATGTAATCAATGTGGCCCGGATGTCCTGGTACCGCTTGTCCCTCAACCGTGCCACGTGTGTTGAGACTGTGTGCATCTTGCATCTCACCCATGTCACCTGATGTGCAGGTGGCAGATGTTTGATGCTGCCCACGCCCATCAAGGACAATGCCTGTGCCACTGTAGCATGCCTGCGGCAGGTGTCCTCATCTGTGGCGAGTTGCTCAAGATTCACGCAGGCGTTGTAGGACCAGATGTACCCTGTATTCCAGTTGAACTTCATGTAAATCCCGAGCAGGCCATTGTTGCCGGTGTACTTGAAAACCTGATGTTTAGACAGCTCATCCTGTGTCTGAATCCATGTCTTATTCATGTGGATCTGCATGTGGACTGCGCTGTAGCCCCGATTGAAGAAATTGATGTAGCCGCGGGATGCCCATTCGGCAATGTGCCTCGCATCCAGCTGCGCTGTAGCCACGATGAATGTGTCCAAGTGCTGTGTTCTGCATGTCCCGACAGAAATGTAATTCAGAAGGGTTGTAACAGCCTCAAAAGGGGAACTGTTCAACACAATGTACTCGACCTCTGGGCTTCTGGCCCAGCCGTGGATGTGTTTCAGTTCACCAAAATTTGCTGTCCAAGCTGTGAACTCCTCAAATGTCATTGCAATGTACATCATGTTGGTCTTGTTCTGCATGGTGTCCAAGTGGATCCCGTCCAATGTACGCAAGGGCTGTTTCCCGGTGATGTTCTCCTCAGTGTAACCCAAAGATGTAAGGCTCACCGCGTCCATGTCCTTGCCACTGTGACCTCTGTGGCCGGGATGTACTCAGCGATCCTTGTGAGTCCTGTTGTGTACCTTCAATGTACAGGGGTGTGTCTTCACCAAATGTAAAATGGCTGCGACATGTATCAAAGACATTGTCTGAAACATGTATGGAACCTCATGCAGTAAAATGTACCTGAGGATGTAAAAGATGTGGTCAAAGATGAACTCAAAGTTGTGTACCCAAACCAGAAAGGTTGTGTCGTCTCCAGGGCAGGTCCATGGCTGTACCTAACCTAAAGCTAAAACATGTGTGCCGGCCGTTTGGTTATGAAACATACTCGTGTGTCAACTGTGCAACTGTTGTTTAACATACTGTGCAACTGTGTGAAACTGGTGTCGTGTGACCTCACAGGCCAACGTTGTACAGGTGTTTGTTGAGAGTGTCGCAGCTGACAAACTTTTTCAGCAGGTCTGATGGGTTGTCTTCAGACCTTACTTTGTGCATTGAAATGATTTTGCTTTTGACAAGTTGTTGTATGAAGAGGTGTCGTAGCTCGATGTGTTTTGCTTTCTTTGATGTACCTTCTCTCATTGATATTGATTTTGCTGCACTGCTGTCTGTGTGTATCCTGATGTTGATGCGTGCCTCAAATGCTTCTTTTATGAAGTTGCCGATGTAGAGACTTTCCTGTGCTGCTGTACCAATTGGGTACAGTTCTGATTCTGCTGATGAAAGTGCTATTGTGGCTTGTGTTCTGCTGCCATAATGTACTGCTGCTCCAAAGAAGTACAGTACAAATCCTGTTGTGCTCTTGCGTGTTGTTTTACATGATGCCCAATTGGCATCTGTGTATGTGTCAATGTTGAGTGGTATTCGCTTGTCCCGTGTTTGTATCGTTGGTCGCAAGTTGTGTCGCATGTACCTTGTGCCCTTAAGGTGCCTGATCATGTGCTTGAGCTTCTTGTTGTCAAACTGTGTTGGTGCTTGTAATGACCTTGCTAGCTCTTTGCTCCATAGCTGATGTCTGGTCGTGTGTATGCTAGCCATTGTATCTTGCCAACAAGCCGCCTGTATCGTTTGTGCTGTTCGTGGTCAAGTGGTGCTTCGTCTTCTGCTGTACCTTTCATGTGTGACACTCCTGGTGATGGTGCTGGGTTGCGTGTAGTCATTCCTGACTCTTCCAGGATGATGTCAACATAGTTGTTGTTCAAACTGATGTCGATGTGATCACCTCTGTGTGAGAGGTTCCTGCCAAGAAAGTGGATTGTTGATCCAACTGTTAGATCGCCGGTGTGTCTAAGCAGAACTTCCTTTTGCATTCTGCTGAACAGTGTGTTGATGATGCTTTGCACTCCTATGAGTAGGAGGTCGTCTACATAGATCATAATGTAGACCAGGCAATCCTTTGACCTGTAGACATTGCTTTCTGTTGTGCGTCTCACCAATTCGAGTGTGACTGTGAGAACGTGTGCTATGTGGTCTTGCCATTGTTTTGGTGATGATCTAAGACCGTAGATTGCTTTGTTTAGCCGCCACATTATGTGTTTGTTCTCTTCATTGTAGAACTCGTGTGGTGGTCTCATTACCAGATTGTGTGTGATGGCTGCTGCATGTAGAAACGCAACACTCACATCTCCTGTACAGACCGACCAGTTGTACACCAGTGCCATTGTGAGAAGCACTCTCAGAATGCGAAACAATGGTGTACTTGTGAAGAGTAGGTCATGGTCTGTAACGGGTTCTGTGTAGCCTTTTGCTACTATGCGTGCTCGTACTTCATTGTGTTTCGGTTTTAGAAACCATCTTGATTCAATGATGTTCGCTTGTTGTTCTGGTGTCATTGTGTTGCCATCAATCTCTGTGAAGACTGATTGTTCTTTCATTTGTTGTACTTCCTTCTTCATGCCTTGTGCTACAAGTTGTGGATCCAGGTCTTCGATCGGCTCTAGCAGGATCCTTTCATTTTCGATTTCTTGTGTGTCTTCATTGGAGGTTGTCTCCATTTGTGTACCATCCTTTGTTGTGAACTTGATGACATTGATTCTCATCTTGCTTTTTGGTTGTTCTGCTGTTGTAGGTCGCTCAAGGGTTTGTCTCTCTGCTGTGGTGCGTTGTTGCTTGCTCTTTCTCTTGTCTGTGATGTGTGCGGTGGTGCTGGCAGGATGGTCGTTTCTGATGTGCCGGTGATGTAGCCATAGGTGATGTTGGCTCTGCTGTCCTCTTCTGCTTTGGCTGTTGTTCGCTCGACTGTGCTGTGCTTTGTCTCTTGTTTTCTGCTGCTGTGCTTGTTGCTGCATCCTTCTGTGATGTAATTGTTTTGCTTGCTGATGGCATTGTTATGTGTTTTCCTTTGCCTTTGTGCTTGCCCTTCTTTCCTTTTCCTTTGTTGTACCATGTTGCTCCTATGTCCATTGGTGCCGGTCCCTGATTGTTGTTGCTGCCTGATGTGATTCTGGTGAATGACGCTGTTGCTCTGTAGTACTCGATCACCATCGATCTGATCTGTGCGTATGTAGTGATGTTTCCTGCTTGTAGCTGCAAATGCTGCTGTAGTGGTCCTTTTGTTTCATTGAGTAGCACCGCGATTTGAATTGCATCTGGTAGTAGTGTATTGTTGTCTTGTTCGTACCTTGAGAGTTGGAACTCCCATGTTGTAAAGCTCTCTTCGAACCTCTGTTCATCGAGTTGTTGTTTGAGCAGCTTTGTAAGGTATCCAATGCTCCTTGTACCAAGAGGTATGGAGTACCTTGCATGTATAAGCCGCCATGTTTCGACTCCGTTGCCTTGCATGTTTTGTCTGCAGATTGTAGATGCTGGTCCATCGCACGTGCTCACTAGGATGTAGTGCAAGTTGTTGCTCAGTTGTATCCATTGCTCTGCAACTTGTTGTGAAGGTGCTGCATTCTCAAGTTGGTCATTTGTAACTGATCCTGTTGATTGCTCTGACTGTCTAAGCAGTCTGTTGTAGTCTGGGTCTTGTAGTCCCAGGTATGCTGTCATCTTGTACTTCCATTCTTCGAAGGTGTTGTATTCGCCATTGAAGCGTGGTGGTGATATCTTGTATTTGTGGATTCCTTCTAGCTGCTGCTGTTGTGGTTGCTGATCTTGTTGTTGTTGTGCCATGTTACTCACTACTGTGTACCTCAACCTGTAAGTGCGTGTTGGAGCTCACCCTGGGTAGTGTAGTAGGATCGTGTACTGGGGATCACCGCTCCGCTACCGTGTTAAAGTTGGATTGATGGTGTAAATACCTGAAGACCTGTGTGTGACAGCGCGGCACAGTTGTTTCCTGGGTGCAAGCTGTAGCTCTACTGTATGTAGGCTCAAGGCCTTGATCATACAGATGTGCAAGGGAATGTACAAGTGAGGATGTATATTAACAATATCAGCGTAAATAAGGAACATATTCTGAAGATATGATATCATGCGCACCCCCGATTCCAATCACCTGGTATTTGTCAAAATAGGGGGACCGCACAAATGGTTGATGCGTCTGGTGGCTAAGATTAGAACAGCCCAACATTGGCATGTTTTCCAACAGGAAGCAAAAGGGGGTGGTTAGGTTTGTGTGTGATTCAGACCCCCCCTCCCCGATTTATCATCCAGTATATCATTTGCGATCTTTGGGTACTTCCATGCTTTTCTCGGCTCACACAGTGTGGCTCAGGAAATTTGCCTGCACATGATTTATGCCAGATGTAGATTTCCAGGCTGTTCAGAATCGATCCTTAATCCTCACATCAGGTAGAGTTGTCTTCTCGTGGGTGTCCTACTGCTGACGGATTTGGAAGATCAGATATCCCCCCACATTTCCACAACTCAGTCTGCAAAGAGGGGACCCCCCCACACTTGGTAGTTTCCTCTTGGTTTCCAAACTTTACCTGTCTAGACTTAGGATACATTTTGCATTTTTTCAGTGACTCAAAGTGAAGCAAACAATAAAATACACATTCTATTACTGGGCCTAACTCTAATCATGTTTAAACCAAGAGGGGAACCCCCAAACCTTGGTGTATCTTGGTAGTTTCCTCTTAAGTTCCAACTTTAAACCCAAGGCTAAGTTTCCTCTGGGTGTCCAACTTTAAACCAACCTAAGGCAACCCGAAAGCCGCGTTTTTTCTCAGGAACAGGGTTGTGGGATCAAGGGGTTTCTCCCCACTTCTGTGATACAAGGGATCTTTCTTTGTATGAACAAAATAGTCGTTGGGGTTAGGCCCTTTCCGTTGTATCACAGATTCGTGGATTCCATTTCAACCACAGCCCTGTTGCCCAAGGATTGAAACCATTCCTTTGATGGGGGTTAATGCTTAGGGCTTGTGGCCCATGGATTCCATTTCAACCACAGCCGCGCTTTTTCTCAGGAAGGGCGCCTTGTTCGGCGTGGCTTTGTTCTTGATGTCCAGCTCTTGGGAGGTCGCGAGCCGCAACGGCGCGCTGAGCTCTTGGCATTGGGCGCCATGTGTACTGCTGGGCTTGTCGTTGTTTGTACTGGAGCCTTGGCTTTTGGCTTTTATTGGCTTTTGGGATCTCAGCGCCTTTTGGATTTGGTGAGGTCTAACCCTTGGTTGGAAAACCGAAAACCCATGCTTGTTTTAACGCCTTTCCAGGTGTTGAGGTCTAACCTTTGGTTGGAGAAAACCCATCTTGTTTTTTTTGAACTATTGCAGCAAAAGGTTTAACCAAACGCTGGGGATAGGAAACCCTCAAAGGTGTCATTTGCCACTGCACAAGGTGCCATGTGTTGCCACCATTTGATAGTTCACGCAGTCCCTAGCCCTTGGTCAGTATGGAATAGGTTCACTATCATCTTGAAGGAAGGATCCCTGAAAAAGAAGGATCCCTGAAAAGAATGGGGGAGTTACCCCCAGAACCTTGTGAGATTGGCGCTTTGGTTTGCTCACTCAGCTGGAACAACCGCAAAAGGATCATATCCGTTTTTTAATTTATTTATTTTGTTTGGGGGGAGAAGTGCCAAGGATGAAGCGATCCATTCACCGGTTGCCATTGCAGTGGTCTTGCTGGTGGTTGGCATGAGCCCCACAGTGCTGGACGCTTTGCGCCTTTGGGCGCTGACGGACATGCAGGAGCGTGGCTGGGTGTTTCAGGGAGGAACCAGCCCTGGGACGTGGTATGTGGAGCTCGTGGATGTCTACAGCTCCACCTTTTTCCGTATCTAGGCGGTTAGTCATGAGGTGTCTAAGACTTTCATGTTTTGTTTAGCCAGAGAATTGGATTTGGGACATCCGGGGTTCCCATGTAACATGTTTAGGAGGGATTTAGGACATCCCACCAAACCTTTGGTGCATTTTGCTTGGCTGTTAGGACTTTAACTTTTTGCCAACTATTGGGCTTTCCACTAAACCACTAAAAGTTAAACTTTTAGCAGGGGAGCAGAAAGCCACCGAGCAAACGTGTTTACATTTTTGCAAGGAATCCATTGGCTCCCAGGTATCCATTGGCTTGTGATCCTGGAGCTGATGCCCACAGTGCTCGGGATCGCGGCCTCCGCGTCGCTCTTGATGCGACTTGGCTCGGCTCAAGGGGGGATTTCGCTTTGGCGAAATCCGCTGGAACTTTGGAGTCCACGGATTTTGATGTTTGTTTTTTTTCTCCTGGAGTGATAGACACTTAACATGTTCTGTGAACAGATAAATTTGTAGATGCAAAAGCAGCTGAATGCCACAGAAGCGAATCCTCGCGTCAAGGCGATCCGCCCCTTTGAGTGGAACAGCAACATTGCCTCCAGGATTTGAGGTAGCCTTTTACGTTTCATGCGGTCGGAAAGTAGCAAACAGCTCACCCAGAATGGTAGGTGGTTGCAGGCGGAGTGGACTGCGACGGAGGGTGTGGGACTATGACGAAGGGTGTGAGCTGTCCGAAATCAGCTCGTGAATTAAACACGCGCACACGCACACACGCACACACGCGCACACACGCACATTGATTTCGATCTATACGATCGCCATACTGCATATTTAACATATTTGTATACATGTTTTTAGACTACAGAGTCGCGTCTCAGCGTGCTGGACCGTTTCAAATGTTTGATGTTATGCTTCTCCTTAAATTCATCCAACAGGGGCTCCAACTCGATTTTCTTTGCACATTCGGGGAGTTGCTTAGGATGATCAATCAGGAGGTAATCCGAGAACCCAAACCTGGGACCAAGACCATCCCGAATGGCTGCAGACCTCTAGTGGTATGCTGTTCCTTTGAACCTTGGCTGAAAAAGCCGAGCTGGATTTTCCTTTTCGGATCGCAAGTGCCTTTTTTGGTGGGGGCCACACACACACGCTGACCCCTTACTGGGCAGCCCGGCCCCTTCTTGCCGCCCCCCTCCCTTCCCCCCCAGGCTCATGGACCTGAAGGCGGTGGAGCTCCTTACGGAGCGGGAGTTCAGCTTGGACAAGGAGACTCGACTTTTCGGTGTTTTCTTTGGGGAAGCCGATGTTTCAGCCGCTGGTGGCTGCAACATGCTTAAACAAGGTGATGTGCAAGGCCGCCAGGTTTGGAGGGCATGTGCCTTGATTTGGGTGTGGTTGTCGAAGTTGAACCACCAATCGGATCGCAGGTTTTGGTCCATGTTGCCACTTACCAGGGCAAGCCATTTTGGGGTTACCCTATTTTTGACCCACAGCCATGTCACTGTTGACCCGAGAAACAGTTCAAATCCCACCCGGGCACACACTGGTACCGGGTTTTGCTGTGACTCAAGTGGCCTTGTTTTCTTTGTGTCCAGTGCGCATGTACATTCTGTGCGGTTTGGTTTCCCCGTCGAGCACACTCAACAAAGATGTTGTCCTTTTTTGTTTAGTTCTTTCAATCTCAGCCAGCTTCTCAGCCAACTAAAAGCAGGTGCTCATTTGGTTTGGTCTTTTCATGGTGGGTGTGGCCCGGGGCGGTGGTGCCACGGGACACTTGGAAACGGAGGAGCTGCGGAGCATCGGCCTGAGCAACCTGCTCAGCGCCCTTTGCGGAGGGGGCTGGCCCTGCTACATTCTTTGCTCCCAGAAGCCGGGCAAACACTGGCGGTGTGCTTGCCTTGTGTTTTTCTTTTTCATGTGAGGGTACCCTTTTCAGGTTGGTTGCCAGGGGAGCCAGAAAGACAGCCGGAGTTTGAAGGTCCCCCGATTTTGACGCCCCAATTCGCCAATTTGTGGTTGTTTTTGCTTGGGGTTTTCTTCATTTGTCCCTTTCTACTGGACACTGTTGCCCCGTTTTGCAGGTCAGACTTGTCCGGCCGAGTCTAGCCAACTTGGAATACCGCTCATACAGGTTTGGCAAAGACATGACTGGCTCTTACATTGCCAAAGTCGTTTTCGTGAAAGGGCAGTCGAGGTGTCCCTTCAAAGGTTTAGGTCAATGTGCCTCCCATGTTTTTGGGGAATTTGTGTGGGCTTTATTGAATACTTGTGGTTCGGGGCTTATAGAGTATAGACAAACACTTACTTTTGCTGCATTTCCCCGCCCCACTGCACGTGGGCTAAAGCACACCATCTTCGTTCAGAGTAGATGGCGCGTTTTGACTGCGACGTGTCACACATTCACTTCACACAGCAAATTTGATTCAAACTTAGAGGCGGTGCATTCGCGTTTTTTGGGTTTATATTTGGGTTGTGCTTCACCCACTTTTCCTCCCATTGTCCAGGTCAAAGCATGTTTGACCGACCATGGCAGTCCAAGGAACGTGACGTGCCACCGGCTCGGAGGTCGTACGGCCTTCGTGGGATGTTGCCTCCTTTTGGGGATCCTGGGCTGCCTCTTCGTGGTGTCCAGCATCGTGCCGCGGCTGCCGCGGGCGTTGCCGGGGTCCTTGTTCATGTGGCTGAGCCTGGTATTTGTCAAGGACCGGGTGCTCCAAATCAGATTTGATTTCGGTGTGTCTGTGTCCAAGAGCCATCAACTGTTGGGTTGCATTTTGCGACAATGTCCTGGGGAGGAACTCTTCCAATTTGTCCTTGGCGTGGTAAGGGGGCACAAAGCTAAGGCCACCATGAGCCAGGGGTTCCCTCGTTTACTTTCGATGCTGCTTCCGCTCGCTGTTTAAGCTGGCAGATCGGTGCTTGTCAACTAAGACATGCCGGAAGCATCCTGCCAAGTTCCTCTCGAGATGGAGGTTTTCTGTCAGTTTCCAAGTAGCTTGTGTCCATTTAATATTTACATAGCACACATTTATACATGTTATACATATGTCTACAAACATACGCATGCATGCGAGTAAAATGTATATCTATCCTATCCGGACCTAACCTATCCTATCCTGTTTTATCCTATCCTATTTATTGGAGATACCACCCCCAGCCCTTTGAACTGTGCAGTCCATGAGGCATCACATAAACTCACAACTCACCCATGTTGGATAGGAGGCAGACGCCTCCCCCAGTCCTTAGACATAAGCCATAAGCTTTGGATATTTTAGACCATTGTGGACATAGGAGGCAGATACCTCCCCCAACCCTTAGATGGCTGTGGGTCAAAAATAGGTACCCCTAAATGGAACCCTGGTAAGTGGCAACATGGACCAAAACCTGTGGTCCCCTGGTGGTTAAATTTTGACACACACCCAGATATCCATGTAGGAGACCATTGTGGACATTTGCTCCAAGTACACCCACATCTCGGACGTCTTCATCGTGGCGATCATGGCTTTGGTGGTGAAGTTCTATTCCTTCAATGACGGGCTCTCGGTGGGTACGTTGCTGGCCATGGGCAGCTCGAGCAAAAACGAACTGGGGGCTCAGAAAATGCGCGACATATTTGTTTTTGTGTTTGTTTGGCTCTGCAACCGTTTGGTTTTTGATGGAGACTTCATGAATGGAGACTTCAGCATCGGGAAGGTCCGAATCTAAAGCCGGATCCGGATGCCCCGGAGTTGGAAGGCATACGATGGGAACCATGTGTTTGAACCCATGGGTCACCCATGGCCCGGGCGACAAACAGGGCAATGGTTTTCCTCAGTCCCCGAGTTCCCGAATTTGTGTTTTACTTTTTGAGTTTGGGCCATGTTAGTGGCAAAAAGCGTGTTGCGCGTTTGGCCAATCTCAGGGCAGGAGTGCCAGTTTCTGGGTAGGTAGACACGGGCAGAGTTGGGTGGAAGATAGATTCCGCTGGTTTCAGTTTGGTTCTATTCATTTATCAGCGCCATTGAGTTTCTTCAAAAGGACAGCTTCCTTTTGGCTTTGATCAACCTGGTTTTAGCATGCTCGCACAAAACGGCGAGTGTTCCCTCGTTTGCGTCATGGCCGCAAATGGCTGCCACCCTTCATTTCCAGCTGACAAAAAATGAGTGATGTTTGCCAGCTTCATCAACTTCGGACTCGGTTGGTGATCAGCCTTGAAGCCCGATTCATGTAAGATAAGCGCCATGGATCGCCTTTTGTCCCCCAAAGTTTTTCTAGGCCCTTAGGTCAGCCAAGATGGGTGGCTCCAAATCAATCCACGAGAACGCCACGCGCCACGTGAACCCGTCCCCTCGTGATCGGCCCGAGGAATGTTCACCATCCGCTACTCAGGGTCCCAGGCTGGTGTGCGCACCGCCGGGGACGCGCGCTTCTACAGGCGGGGGCTTGTGTCAGAACGAGAATGAGTCGAGAGTTGGACGCAAAGTCGGTTCCTTTTTTCGAACGCGACCCAACTGACCCAACGGCCTTCTGTTTTTCCAAAAAGGGAAGGGTTCAATTGGTCAAGTCTTGTGTGGCAGAAGGGGATGGGGTAGAGATCCATCCCATTTTGGCCGTCCACAGTAATTGTGGCCAGTGGCACCCTTTCCCCGAGTGTTCAGTTGGTTTCCTAAATGTTCGGAACCAAACAGCAGCCTAGCACAGCATTGTGAGAATTGTTTACCCTTCCGGTTTTCCTTCATTTGTCCTTTTTTGACTTCCCTTTTGGTGTCCTACCTTTTTGAATATTCGCTTTTTGCCAGCAAAACGCATCGGGCCACGGAGCTTGGGCGGGTGAGGTCCATTTGCACCCGCGAGGGTTCGGAGCATGATGCCCTGGAGAAGTTGGGCCACTTGATTGCGGTCGTCCACGTGGACGGGCTGCTCGGAACTCATGGAAATTTCGGCGTGTTGGGAGTTGTGAGGGGTTCATTGGCCCGAAGTGACAACATCAACCCGTGCCAATCTTGTGGATTTCGAGCTCACCGACTCGGAAGTAAAACAAGCAATCAGCCATGTCTTTGGTTTTGGAATAATAGGAAAAGTTGTTGTTTCTTGCAAGCCTGGGGTGGTTCAATCTGTGCTTGTTTGTTGTGCTCTGAAAGTAGCCATAGTGTCGTTGTTGTTCCCCTATTTGTAAAGGTTTGGGATACTTGTTCTTCGGCTTTCAGCCTAGTTTGGCAACTTGTTGATTGTTGGAAGCCCCAAACGGCAATCGCCCTGGATATCCGGGCTTTCAACACTAACCTACAAGCATTTATTCATAGTCTTTACTTGTGGCTAGCACCGCAAAGACAACTTAGACTTGAAAATCACGGAACCCTTGATCGATTGGTCCCTTGGGGTTTTGAACCCCCGGAGCAATTCCAAACCACCAAGCAAAAAGCTTGCATGTTTAGAGCCACTGATTTTGAACCAAACTTCAAAAAACGTAAGGTTAGCTAAGGGCATCACTCAATGTTACCTGTTTGAACAAGTACCCCCTACTTCAACTACTCTACATTTTCTTTGATTAATGTCCTGAAAAGCCGGGCATTCCAAGGTAAGCACTCTTTGTTGTTTGGATCGACACCATGACCCCCCAAAAAAAAAAAAAAAAAATCGGCGGATACAGGACCTAAAACGCAAAATCAAGTCACGTTCATACGGGAATTGTTTGCTACTGGAGTTCTTCAGCTGGTGTTATTACGTGTTTTTTTTGTTCTCCCCTTTTTTTAATAAGAACCCGCCTCAAGGTACTGCCTTTAAAGAGGTCAGTCAGGGTCCGGTGGTTTCAGCCAATTCGTGGGTTTGAACAGTTGCCATGCGTAGGTGGCAACCCAAAACGACAACGGTGACAACCATTGATGTCCTTTTTGGTTGTTTTGGAAACATAGATGGCCCTGGTTTACCTGGTGGTTTAATCTACCAGGGCCATCTATTTGCCCTAAAGGGACACCTATGGTCTCAACCAGTTCGGGGGTCCCAATTTCGATTTCTAGCTCAGAGGTTCCTGATGTTCGCCTCCACGCCGGCCTTCACCGACGCGGTGCGGGAGCTGATGGGGCCTGAGGCGGGAGCTGCCGTAGCTGATGCCTGGTGCTTTGTTTGCAACGTCGGTCATTTGGGAAAGGTCCCCACAAGACACAAGTGGGGGTCTTTCGTTTGACCCTGTTTTCTTTTTCCCCCTTGGAAACCAGAAATGTTTCCCCCCCTGGCTTCCAATGGTTTTCCCCATGGCTTCCAAAGCCCCCCCCCCCACCCATGGTTTCCAAAATAAGTTCTCGTGCCCCCAGGGATGGGTAAGGGGAAGGGGAAGAGGTAAGGAGCATTTCTTGCGCTCAACACGCGTTTGTTGTCGGCGGAAGTTATGACGATCTGCAATCCACGTTTGGGGGCATTCGTTCGCATTCTGGACTTGGCCACGTTTGAGGCACATTGTGTTCCTTTTGGGAATATGGGAATGAACCCCGAACCATTCCTTACAACCCGTAATTTGGCCATATGAGATTCTAGTCCTGGAATCAGGACTAGATTTTGAAATGTGGTTTTGAGGTATAGTCTTAAGACATAGTCTTTGAGGTATAGTCTATTTTGGGCTTTGGGAGTGTTGCACATTTGGCAAATGATTTCGACACGTTTCAAGATGGGGACCTCCAACACTGGTGTTCCCTTCGATCTGACAAAGAGGGTACCCTGACCGCCAAGCATAAGCCAATAGTTGTACTTGGTCAAGTAAGTCTACCATGATGCCAGGAGCAGTCCACGGTGCGAGTCATTCACTACAGGATCCCTCATTTCCGGGTTGCAATTATGTTCATTCGTGCGGACAATGAATGACTGTTTCGGGGTCTCCTCCGCAACGATTTTAACATTTTGTGTAAACTAAATATATGGAGCATAATCTGATCAACATATTTTCTGCATTACCCAGAGGTGGGTCAATATTTGCGCAGAGAATGACTGCTTTGTTGAGCAAGTGTGGCAATGTCGAGTCACAGCATGTACCAAGATGGGTTGGACCCTTTTGGGAAAGGATGTCTGAAAGGAAGTGATATGAACATAGTTGTGGGACACATGGTACTGTTCTTTGTTCTATCTTTCTATCTTTCTATCTTTATGTATTTCATGTGTTTTCTTTCTTTCTTTCTTTCTTTCTTTCTTTCTTTCTTTCTTTCTTTCTTTCTTTCTTTCTTTCTTTCTTTTGTTCTTTCACTTTTTTTGTGTCTCTCTCTCTCTCTCTCTCTCTTTGTCTCTCCCTCGTTATGTCGTTCTTTGGATCCAACTGGATTTGACACGCTCCCAATTTCCTGTCTGAAGAGGCTTCCTCCAGATGTCTTGTTTGGCACCTTTTGGTTGCCAATGAAAAGGTCGTCTCCTTTGGCCTGGCCATGTGTAAGGGGAAAATGTAGGGCCCCGAACGGGGGGAAGGCCCCTCTGTTGATGGCAGGGAAACCAAGCAAAGCCAACCATAGCATAGTACACCAAAGGATCCAGGGGAGCCAAAGGAGTGTCTTGATTCTTGGAGGCTACGTCCTTCGGAGTGGGTTTTCAAGGGAAACCACTCGGAAACGAAGCATCTTGAGAGTACCCCAAATTTTCAACAAATTTCTATGGCACACCCAAGTGAACGACCTGGAAGCACGCTGACCCGAAGCGAAGCAGGGGTTCGACCTCCCCTGTCAGGGGCCCGACTGGATCTTGCTGAATTGTCGCCCAGCTCGGATGATTTGTTTGTTCCCTTTGGATCCATTTGCTTAAGCCTTTATGTGATTTCCCCCAGTTGGTTTTAAAGGGAATCTATCACTACAGTTCTTTTGTTCTTTCCAGGGGGCTTAAGCAGATGGAAGTTTGACGTGAGCCCGGAGGATTCCTCTTTGGGGGGTTTGCTTCTTTGTTCTGGATCCTAACTATCATCAACAAAGCAACTTTTTTGGCGGGGTTTTGTTTGGCGGAATTATCTAAAGGCGGAACTCGCAACAAAGCAGGCGTTTGCTTAGCATGAACCAGACACTTCTGGCGGTGTTTTCTTCTCTTGTGGTTGGAATCCATCCAGAAACAATCAGCAAGTTTTATTCCCGTGATGTGTTTGGGTGGGTTTCCCTTTTCAACTTGAACCAAGGGTCGCCTTTGAAATGAACCTCACTAGTGGGTTAGCTGGTTTCCCTTTTTGCCAGGGTTTTCAACACACATCAACACGGGTGTCATGTTTCATTGTTCTTGGTTGCCCCTTTCTCCTTCTTTTTTAGAGTTGACTTTTCCTCACCCCAACACGGGCTGAGCCTTTCTTTGTGCTGGTGGGGGGGGGGACGGGGTTGGGCGGCCAGGGGGTAGTAGTTGGACCAAAACCCAGATGATATAAACCCTTGTATAAACCTGTTGTGGGCTTCCTTCTGCTGGTTTTCTCCTCACAATGAAATCGCAACAAAACAGATTCCTTTGTCGTGGCCTTGCTTTAGCTCGTTTCCGTTTGGCATGTGCCAGCCAAGCGACTTTTGGGTGGATTTAGCTTGTTTGGTGGGTGCTTGTAAGTTGAGTTCACAACTCCTCAGTAGGGTTTCCTTGTCGAAAGCGACATACCAAGTATTGGGCAGGGGGGCATATCTTCTTGCGGCGGGCTTCCCTTCAAAATGAACCGGCAACAGACAAGGTCCTTGTATCTTGCGCTTCCATTTGTACTGAACAAACCAAGCAACCTTTGGGCGGGTTTCCCTTTTTGGAGTTCGCATGTGTGTGTGTGTGTGTGTGTTTTTTTTTTTCTGATGAGCTCTTTCCATAGAGATTCCAAGGGAATGAGACAAAATCTGAGACGGCATCCCAGGCTTCCAAACCCAACGTTCGAAATGGAACACGAGTTCGAGAAACAAAGAGGAAATCTGCGAACCAAATCACATTCCACGTGGAGAAGCCAGAGAGAGAATCTGAGAAACAGCCACTCACTGGCCCAAAGCGAAAATCGACCTTCTCAGCTTTTGGCTGCAACGGTGTCCGATGCAAGTGTAAGTCACCATTTAAAGGTGATCAGCTTTTACTGGGTCCTTTTGGAGAAATAAGCACCAGGGGATTCCAGGCAGACATTTGGTGTCCACTCCTTGCTGGTGCGAGAGATGCAGGGAATGAGAATTGGAATGACCCCTTCTCAACAATCCAAACTGGTGGTTTTCTTTAAGTTTGGGTTGATTCCATTTCTCCCCAAAGAGAGGAAAAGGCCAAGGTACAAGAAACCCTTTTTGGGATGGTTCATTCCTCTCATTCCCTGCCTATCGCACCAGTCGCAGCGAGCCTTGAGGCCAAAACCTGCAGGGCCTGGACTACTCCGCGGCGCTGGAGCTGGCGACCTTGGGGCGCAAGGCCAAGGAGTGCCAGAGGCGAGCGCCGTGGAAACACGCGAATCACTTCCGGGGGTGGCGGGGGGGTTCTCCTGGCGCTTTTTTTTGGGGGGGTGGGGGTGGGGGAACCGGTGTTTTTTTTTTACTAGCCCCGGCTCGGGGCGTAACCCCGGCTCGGAGACTGGTTGGTTGGTTGGTTGGTTGGTTGGTTGGTTGGTTGGTCAGCTGGGCGGCCGCATCCCCAGCATGCCCAGCATGTCCGGTTTCTTTTCACGGCTGCGTATGGGGCATGACTTGATGCTCGGGATAGCGCATCGCCAGCATTACTGGCCTCACTCGGACGAGAGCTGCCTATTGGCTTTGGTTTGGTGGCAGTTCAGGGTTGATGGGGGCTGGTTTGGGGTGAGTGCTGGGCTTGCTGAGATATTAATGCGGGCGGGTCTTGGGTTTGTTTAGGGTTCATTTAGCCTCGGCAAAGGGCCGATATGCAGGATGCGGTTGGGAGGGTTTCAGGTTGACTTTGGGTCGGTTTTGGCTTGGTGGGGCTGATTCGTGCTAGATGTGCGGCTGGTTTAGCCGTGGCTTTCGGGTTGCTTCAGGGATGTGGTTCTGCAAGTTTTGTGCTGGTTTGGGATTGGTTGTGGGGCGTTGCCCCAAACCACCAATCCTAGCCCAAAACTTGCAGAACCACATCCCTGAAGCAACCCGAAAGCCACGGCTAAACCAGCCGCACATCTAGCACGAATCAGCCCCAACCAAGCCAAAACCGACCCAAAGTCAACCTGAAACCCTCCCAACCGCATCCTGCATATCGGCCCTTTGCCGAGGCTAAAAATGAACCCTAAACAAACCCAAGACCCGCTCGCATTAATATCTCAGCAAGCCCAACACTCACCCCAAACCAGCCCAGATCAACCCTGAACTGCCACCAAACCAAAGCCAATAGGCAGCTCTCGTCCGAGTGAGGCCAGTAATGCTGGCGATGCACTATCCCGAGCATCAAGTCATGCCCCATACGCAGCTGTGACAAGAAACCGGAAATGCTGGGCATGCTGGCGATGCGGCCACCAACCCCCAGCTTGTGCCGAGCCGGGGCTAGTAAAAAGCCGGGGCTAGAAAAAAAAACCACCTCAACCGGGGGTGGGGTTTGGGGGCGGGGGGGGGGGGTAAGGGGGAGGTTCCCCTTAAAACCAAAACCGCCAGAAAGGGGGGGGTTATACCTTGGCTTTTTGGTTTCGACTCTTGTTTGCGAGAAGTAGGGAGTGAGAAATGGAATGAACCCAGGGATTCCAACTTAAAGGAAACCACAAGTTGAATGGTTTATGAGTGTGATTCCCTCATCCCCTGCTGAGCACCAGCAAGTCCCCTTAAAATGAAAATCCGGGGTGGGGGGGGGGGGGTTGTGGTATGTACCCCAAAAAGGTATGAACACGGGACTTTTGGGTTCATTTGCCCAAGGTGCATGTCAAAAAGGCTTCGTTTTCCAGGCGCATTGTGGTCACAGAGCTCCCCAGCGGGGTGCGGGACGTCCTGGCAAAGGCGAAGGTGGAGATGGCCGCGTTGCCGCGCACCAGCTTCATGGACGGGAACTGCGTGGAGTCTCAGCCTTCCCTAGTATAGCCCCCCCCAAAAAGACCATGAGTTGTATTAAGGACACCTCCAAAGAGGTTGGTGGACATAAATCACCGCCTAAATGGTGTCCTCCACAGGGTCCCTGATTAAGATTCAAATGGGATTTGTTGCCTTTGGTTTCCCTTTAACCAGCCAAAGATTGGTCCATTTTGAGGAACCTCAATTGCAGTTGTCCCAGAAACCCAAAAAGGGGATTTGGAGCTGACCGTTGGGCCAAGCCTGGCAGTCTCCTCTGTTTTGTGAGGGTTCCTTTTGGGCGGTGTTAAAAGGACCCCCGAACGGAATCCCGCCCTTTTTTGGGGTCCATTTTACGCCACACCCATGTGGGACGCCTGATGGATCAGAATCTTGTGAGTCTTGTGTAGAGTTGGGCCAAGCACCTACCCCAACCCCCCCCCCCCCCCATCCGACAACTTGTGGGAAGGGTCCCCACCCCCCCACCCCCCCCAAACAAACAGACCTACCCCACCCCCCCGCTCCTTTAGAAACGGGCTCGCTCCAATCAACGTGTGGGATGCTGAGGACTACGGGCTCTTCTACCAGCCTCACTACCAGCGGGCACTGCAGCGCTGCGAGGACGGCGTGCTCGCGCCTTTGGGGCTCCTCTGACCAACAAAAAGGCACCAAAATGCTGGGTGTCCTGTTGGTCTCCCCGTAAAGTCGTAAAGGGTGAGAACGGTACCCTCCAGAAAGCAAACCCAGAAGTCTCATGGGATTGATAGAAGTCCACTGGTTCTTTGCGATTCCAGTCGTTTGTCTTTCTTGCAATAGTTCGGATCCCCCCCAAAAAAACACACAAAAATAGATCGGCTTTCTTTCGGCCACGGCCAACCATTTCCTGTGCCCAGGCTGCGCATGCCCGGCAAGTCTCAGGCAGCACTGCTGGGGTCCGAAGAGGTCTTCATGAAGGATCGGCATCGAAGTTGTGTGCGTTGAGTGAGGTCCCCCTCCCGTTGGAACCTGACCATAGCTGTCCTTGTTGGTTGTTTTGGTAGAAGAATCGATTCTACCTGGTGGTTTAATCATCTACCAGGGCCATCTATTTGCCCTAACAGGACACCTAATCGGGGTCCTGGAAGACGATTTTTCTTTAAGCAAACACTTCTCTGGTGGGTTCCATGTTAGTGGACAGGAGTAGTTTGCCCAGAATCGGGATTTGTCCAAATGGTTGTTCAAAGCTGTGTAGTGGTGTGCGGTTGATGGCCTTGGGATGATTTCTGTTCCCCGCAGCTCCTTTGGGCGTCATGTTTGCGGTTGTCGTTCTTCTATATTTTTTGTGGGGGTCGGTTTTTGCTGAGGTGTCTCTACAACGTGATGTTCCCAGCAACCCACCTACAGTCGAAAATGAATCACAGAAAGACGTCCTTTCAAAAGGATGTGAAAAGAGTGGTGACCGGTTTCCGCCTCTTTCTTTCCTTCTTGTCTTCAACCAGATTTACTGCAGGTTACCCTGACCGGGATGTCCCTGTTGCTAAGGAGTTCAGTAGGTGTTTCTTCTTTGCAATTCTTTTCAAGAGGACTGTCTTGTAAAAACCTTCTGTCAGCTCCAGCCTCCATGACCCCTAACAACGGTGGGTCATGGAGAGTCCAGGCAGCAAAATGCCTTGTTACGAGCTGGGTGTACAAAATAGGGGGACCAAGCAGACATGATGTTCGTCCTTTTGGTTTCACTTGTAGGCCAACTGCCAACTCCAACCACCCCAATTTAGAGCACCCATTTGTTCCATTTGGTGTTTTGGTTTTTAAATGGGGGGCCCCAAAACTGTGCCGAATTGGGATCAGATCCAGGATCTTCTGAAACGGTACATCGGGGACTTCCTGCCAGAGGCCGCGAGCTTGGATCGTGCCCTGAAGGTTTTCTCCAAGCGCACGCTGGAGCCTGGCAGCGTGCTCTGGCACGCCGGGGAGGACGGAAGGAAACAAAAAAAAGGGAACCCCCAAAAGCTGGGTGGTTTTACTTTTTGGTTTGTCTTTGTGCAATCCCTAAAAGGAGTTCCTTTTAGATTCCTTTTGAAATTTACGTCTTCCAGTTTCCATTGTAGGTTGGTAAGGGATAATCCCAACCACAAATGGGTGCAGCCGCCTTTTTACTTCTTTAAATGGTTCTGGATCGGCCGTTTCAATACCGTTCGGTTTTGATTGTGACTCAGTGGGTATTCCGTTCCTTCAGCCAGGAGGTCTAGCAACACCCTCCCCATTCTCTTCAGGCATCATTCTCTTCAAAGAATGGACAACCCCCCTGGAAAATGGTCGGTTTCCAAAGAGAACAATTGGATGGGTTGGTGGATGGGTTGGTAAATAGATGGGTGTGCGTCTCGGGCCTTGGCCAAGAAAAACTGTCAATCGGGCTGGGTGAAGAGAATGGAAAAGGAAAATCAAACCTTCGAGGAGTGCACCTTCTGCGTGTGCGTCACCGAAGGTGTGCTGCATGCCATGCAGCCTGCCTCCAAAGCCCCTCCGGGCGCAAAGCACGCCAAGGACCGGCTCTGCTGCATCGCCGGCCCCGGTGACTTTATCGGCTGCGTGGATGAATGCAGTCAACGATTTTCCAGGTTCTCCAGGTTTTCCCCATGAAGTCGTTTAGGTGTTCTATGTTTTGTTTGGTGTTTATTGGCTTCCCTTTGAAGTGAACCGCAAAACAAAGCCTTTTGAAGTGAACCTCCCTCAAAAACAACATATGTCCTTGATACATTTCAGGGGGAAGGCAGAATACAACAAAAACAACAACAATCTGAGCATCATATTTTCTGTGTTAAAACATGACATCAAATCCGAGCATTTGGGTTTTTTGTGTACCCCCCATTTGCTTGAGTGGGCGTATTTTCGGCCCAAAGCCAGGCTTCATGGCGATGATCAATCACTTTCCCTATGAGCACACGGTGCTTGTGCCCTGTGAAAGCGACGCGGAGGACGACGACTTTACCATCGTCTTGGTGCTGGAGAAGAGTCGCTCGCTCGCCATATTTTTTAGGTCGGAGAGTCGGAGACAGCCGCAATCCGATTCCAAGCGGAAGACGTCTCGTCGATTCCGATTTTAATGGGTTCCGCCGCCCTTTTGATTCACTATGAGATTTGGGATTAGGTGTTTTTCATGCCAGACTTTGGTTTTGTGACTCGCGGAACTCCGTCATTTCCACGGGACCTTTTCGTTGAACCAAGAATGAATCATCGGCAATGCCTTCCAGCAGTCTGATCGGAGTTAAGGGCTACCCAGTGCTGCTGACCCCATTGCTCAAGCCCGAGAAACATCCAGGGACGGTTCAGGGTGGGATCAAGGCCCAGATTCTTCCGTTTGTTGCATCTAGATCGGTACCTGATGAAGACACCATGTTGATCTGGTCCCGAGGCTGAACATGCAGCGCAGGGGTCAATCCACAACGAATCCGGCCTAGAAAAACCTGTGTCAAACGCGGGCATCCCAAAGAAGCGGTGGGTGGACTGGAGCCCCAGAATGCTCCAGTAATTGATCAAGCGCGAGCTACCCAGATAGGAAAACACCACCTCGTTTGATCCGCAGTGCTGAAACCGTCCGAAACAACCCAACAGGATTCCTTATCATGGGAGTGTTGTATACTATCTCCCTCTTCGACAAATGAGTTTAGCCTTGTAATCTTATGATCCCCAAAATCTGAGTTGAACACATTTTGAATTGAACACAAAAGATTAGCTTTCTGTGTGCCCTAAGTTTGCCAAGCCTTGAGTGCTATTGGGTTGGATCTTTAGACTTGAACTTTTTGGGAAATCAAGGGTTGTTCCATTAAACCCGCAAACAGTTAATCTTTTTGCAGAGGGGTCGTTGCAGCAACCAAGAAACCGGTTTTTCCTTTGTGGGCTCCCCAAAATGAGTTTCTGGTTTTCTGTGTGCCCTAAGTTGGCCAAACTTCCATTTGCTTATCTTTGTTAGTTTTTAAAAGGAATCTATCACTGTTGGATTTTTTTCTCTTCCAGGGCCGTAAGCAAACCCAACTTAGTGGTAGTTTTCAAACCCAACTTAGGTAAACCTTTAGCAGGGGATCGGAGCGCAGCAACTTCCATTTGCTTAAGAATAGGTCTTTATCATCACTATTGTGTTTGTTTTTCATTCTTTTTCCAGGGGCTTAAGCAAATGGAAGCGAACCTCGGAGGCAAATACGGTCAGCAGCAACCAAGAAACCGTTTTTTCCTTTGTGGGCCCCCCAAAATGAGTTTCTGGTCTGCGTGCCCTAAGTTGGCCAAACCGAGGCAAGTACAACGAGCTCTTCACCTCGGATCCCCCGCTGGCCCAAGCCTTGAGCCGCGGCTTCCTGCGGCAGATCAGCTACGAGTGGCGGGAGCTCTCACGCCTCGGTGGGGCCGCGTGAGACGTGAGCGGGCCGCGCAGTGAGAGCTCCAAGGGGATGCCAGTTTGAGGGTTTTCGGTGAATGCACCACCCATTTTGGTTGGATTGGTTGATGTTCGCTGGGGGTACGATTTGGATTTTGACCCATGGCCACATGAGAAGGGAGAAGTGAGCGCAGGGGTGGGCACGGAGGTTCTTCAACGAACCAAATTGATTTGTTGTGGGTTTAAACAACATGTATTTCCAAATGCAAGACTGGCAGGGAATGAGTTGGAATGACTCAATGACCCCTGTAACCCATCCTCTTTGGTTCCCTTTGAGGGGATTCCGGTTCATTCCCAAAACCATGGGTCATTCCCTACTGAACGCCGGCAAGTCAATGAACCCGTAATTGGTTTAAACAACATGAAGTTCCAAAAGCAAAACACCTGATTTTTAGCCAAACCCTGGTTCCCTCAAAAGGGAACTTAAGGGGGTTGAATTGCCCAGCCCCCCGAAAAGTGTTTGGGTCAAGATCCCGTGGGTTCGTGAAACGGCTCGGTGTGTTGATTCCGAGTGAGATCCAAGATTGAGGTATTCTAACCGGACGAAGGGACTAAGGCCAACTTGGGAACTGGACTTGATCTCTTTTTATGATGTTTCTCCCAGTACGGATGAAGGACTAGGATGGTAGCCGTAACCATTTGGCCACATGCCGAGCATGATTTGACCTCCCAGCTGCGTGTGGGATAGATTTACCCGGACTTCGGAGACAAAAGCTGCGCTCGTTCCGTTTTTCCGGTGCGCTGGATTGGAGTCAGTCATGATTCTGCTGGGTACATGGCACTTAAATTGGGGGGGACCCCATGGTGGCACCTAGCCTCAAAAAGCACCCCCTGAAGCATAGGTGTCCTTTTAGGTTATTGTAGTCATCGATGGGTTCCACTGTTTTAGATGGGGTTACTGCATTTACCAGGGCCATCCACTTTTCCAAAACTCCACCTATGCCCGGGGGTGAGAAGGGTACCAACTCGAAGCCCCTCGCCTCATTGGTTGTCACATTTGTCTTGAGGGCCTCCCATGCCGCTGGTGACCTGGTGGGAGTAGCATGGAAGTGGGGCCAAAAGCCTGAGTCAGCCCAAGGCGTTCCTGAAGTTGTCCCGCCGAATGGGAGTGGAAGTGTAAATAGACTACAGAAAAAAAAGGGTACCCTTACTAACCTCTCTACTGGAGGACCTAGGTCGGCTTGCGGGCCCTTGCACTTCGACCATTCGGCAGAGCCTGCCTCTTTTAGGAGCACTGCATCACCGCATTGGTTGTTTGAGCCGGGCGAAAGGGGGTTGTTGAAAAAGACGAGCTGATTTGTTTTGTCTTTTCCCCGCCGTGAGCAGACAATTGCTGCTGCGAATGTGAAAGTCTATTTGTGTAAGATCTCGAGATGAATCAAGGCCCAAGCTTGGACCATTGGACCCAATTCACAATGTGTGCGCGCGCGCACTTGTTTTTGGAGGGTTTTTGGGCTTGATCCAACGAAACCACCCATTTTGGGGGTCCCCCAATGCTGACGCCCATGTTTGCAACGATCAAATTGATTTGTCGGGGTGAAAGGATTGCTTCTGGCCATCAAAGTGGGAATTGCCCCGGCTTTCCTCAAACGTCCCCAAAGGGTCGAAGGTTTAGCATCCATTGCATGTCCACTGCCAACATGGATTCAGGGTAGCCCTCAGCCAACGTCCAGGGCAGGAAATAGGGAGTGCTCAAAATTCAAGAACTCACGTTATGCATTGATTGGGAATGCGAAGGTCGTCAAACGGTATGATCTCGGCCGCTTCGTTTTAGGTTACTCAGCCCGCCCTTTCGCCGGCCCCATACCCTCCTAAAAATCAAGAGGCGAAAACCTGAAACAAAGCCTTGCGTAGAGGAGTCCCGTTTTGGGGCACCCCCCAAACAAACAAACGGCTCCAAGCTAGTTGTTCAAGGAGTGCATGATTTCCGCAACAGAAAACAAACCATGGTTTTGCGGTTTGTCAAACTTGGTTGGCCTTTTGATTTTCATGTTTATCAAGAGATAGTACACAAACCTTTGTAATTTTGCCGCAGAAGCAAAGTGTGTATGAATTCCAAGGTAACCTCCAACATTGTTGTTGGACACAAATCCCCATGTAAATGATGTCAACCAAAGGGCACCCCATCAAAATTCATACCCAACCCACTGCTTCCAAGCATTTTGCCTCTTGGTTTTGCGTGGGGAATTTGGTGGCCCAGATGTCAGTGGCCAGGTTTCAGCTGGCCGCGGTTCAGCGAAGAAGCCGCCCGGGCCCCGTGAAGACAGGTCCTCCCACACGCGAAGAAGGGGGTTGCCCTCTATGCGTGTGCCAATACTTTTCCATACATGTCCCGAGGGGTTAATGGTTTTTGTAGTTTGGTGTCAGTGCAACCTTATAGCGTGGTAATGCTGCCCCCATATCAATCAACCCCAGTTTATTGATAGGGCTGTCCCTGGTGTAGTGGGAAACCCCCTATTGATAAGCTGGGGTTGATTAATATGCAGTCAACATTATACCTCTCTCCTCCATTGTCTGCGCCCACGAGCGTTCAAGCTGAAATTGCGCTGGACCCGGCGAATCAACTCCGCTTGCAGCGCCCTAAACCCCCCAAAAGAGCATTTTTCCGTGGGTCCTAGTGTCTGGTTTCATACGGGTTCTAGTTCAGGCTATATAAACCTTTATCATGCCTAGTAGGGTTCTGGGCACGCAGGTGTCCTTTCCGGGCCAGTAAGCAAACACGCAAACGTCCTGCCAAAAGCTGAAGTCGCCATTGGTCCAGGTTTTCGACCTCACTGTGCTTTGAAATCAGGGTCTTGGATTCTTGTTTGATCTTGTATTGCAAATAATCCTCAATATGATGAGCTTAGTTTTGACACCATGCGTTGAGATGTCTCAGATTGCTCGTTCATAGGCGACAACCAGACAAGGATTCTGCATACCTGCAAGCTGTTGAGCAGCTTGCGGCTTATTTCTTGAAGGCACCGATCTGTGCAAGCAGCACACTGGCTAAGCGTGCGGTGCTGCGCCTTCATCGCTGAAATGGGGACGCATGAATAACTCCCTCGTTGAATAGGCAAGTGTCCCGATTCGGAGGGCACCACCGAAAGAAAAGCACTGCATGCAGAGTCGACAGTACTGACCAAGGTCGGAGGCTGGTCGGACTGTGCCCGGCTACTTGCCAGCCTTGAAGCTGCACGTGATTACCCTTGAACTCTCGAGGGCTCCAGTTGCAGACGGAGCCTGAGAAGAATGAACGGGCCTTCATGCAGAGTAGTTCCTCCTTACCCGCGCTTGGCGCGGCCTGCATGGGTGTGGGCGTGACTGGTGGCAGCACTGTCATCGAGCAGAGAAACATTTGGCGCAGAGCCTTGTCATGTCAGCGGGTCAATGGAGGTATGACGAGGGCAAAAGTGTTCGGAATCCTTTGTACTGCAATGACGAACCATAACGTGATGTTGGTTGAACATGAGCCTCTAAATGGTGGTTGGAAGGGAAGCATCCCAACATATATTTGAGAAACCCTCGAAATAGAATTCGTCTAGAAACTGGAAAGGGAACGGGTTTGCTCAAAGGGACCCTTTTCCGAAGCCACTTCATCCAAATCCATGTTTTAATTGTCACCTTGTCAGTTGCATGAAGCAACAAGAGCATGCATGTTTCTTAAAACTGGGGACCCTTCAAACAGATTGCTTTCCTTTTGGTTTCCCTTCAAAATCCACCCAAAACAGGGTTGCCCCCATTGTTGGACACCGCACCGCTGATGCGAGACCACAGTAAATGCAGTAAATGCAAAGCAACCAGTATCCAACAAGTAACATGCTGCTGGTCATTTTGCCTTCCCTTCACATGGCATTTTTTCCTCTTGGCATCGTTGAGTGGTGAAGGCAAGTAGTGTTGACTACCGTGGTGCCAAATCTCAGTTAGCAATTCCTACATGTCTGCCACATCGTACCACTTTGCAAGATCTTAGTGATCTTTTGGTACAGGGTTGCCGACCACCTGATACAGATGTTGTTCTTGGACAGTGAGATCACAACTCGCACGGATCATTCCAGTTATTCCATTGGCCAAGTCACCCCGGACAGACGATAAGGCGGGACTCCTGTGGTTGCGTGAGGGAGGAGTCCTGGTTCTCTTTAATTGTGTATTTAGACGACATAGCGTGGCTTCATCACAGGGAAGACACCAGTGTTGCTTGGGCGACGGCCCGGAAAACCGGAAAACCAGGGCTCGCTTTGGGCTTCATGCACTTGCGTGTGAGGCAGTGGTCGCGGAAGAGGCGAGAACGGCAGGGATCCAAAGGCCAAACTTGGGAGACGAATCTCGGCTAGCCATACCCATCGATATATTTTTTATGACAGATCAAACGAAGAATCTATAACGGGAAGGGTTGCTACGTGCTGGTTTCGTTTTAACATGAAACATCGGGATCCGTGCTTTCGACACAAACACACACACACACATCCATGTATGTATATATATATATGTATACACACGTGTCTATACTTTTACATGTATATGTGCGCGTTTCTGCACAGAGATGAATTTAGTTGGGCAGGAGCAGGAACAAGGGCAGACAAGAAGTTGCCAGTGTTCATGTGACGTTCTTATTTAAGGTGCGAAGAACACGTCACAATCGACCCGGGATGCTCCCCCGAAACTTTGGGAAGCTAAGACTGCACTGGGAAGGGCAACGGCCCATTTCAACAGATATGTTGTGCTGTTGCTCTCCCTAGGGCGAGGCACCTGTTTCTGCAAGCAAGCTAGCTTCAATAGATCATGGAGATGCGTGGAGCAATCGACAGTTCGGTTGAGGTTCCTTTCCCTTTTCCCAGGAACATGTTTCAAGCCAGTCAGGATCCGGGCACGTTCGAGTCAGGGAATATTTCAACCGTTGCCGTTCTGTGTGTGCTAGTGTCCCATTTTATAGGAAATCCTGAACAGTTTTAAGGAAATAATCAAGTACATTCGCCTTTAATTCTACTTTATCCTGCG